GCACCACCAAGAATAAATACAACAAAAACAAAATAAAGTTGTGAAATTCTAGCTAGATACTAGTGCTTGCCAAAAGATTCCAAGCCTGAAGTCCCATGAGTTACAAAGATTATGAAGGGCTAGATCACTGTTCAGGACATACCCCCAAACACTCTCGGAATTTCTCCTTGATACAATTAGATTGAATGAGAATTAAAAAGGGAAGAATTTTTTTTTTAAGAGAGAGAGAGAGAGAATTTTTTTTTTAATATTTATTTTTCAGTTTTCGGCGGACACAACATCTTTGTTTGTATGTGGTGCTGAGGATTGAACCCAGGCCGCACGCATGCCAGGCGAGAGTGCTACCGCTTGAGCCACATCCCCAGCCCCGGGAAGAAATTTCTAACCATGTTATTTAATGATATTTGAGGCAAACTACTGTACATCCTATACCGTTTGAAACACTGAGATAAGATATGTAAAGTCCCTGGCCTGAAAGAAAGAGTAAATATTAGTTCTCTCCTACACTTTCCTAGGAAATCCAAAGCATACATGAAAAGAAGAACTGGCAAAGAGTACCTAAATAAATGGAGAAAAATACCACACTAAGATTTCAATTCTCCCCAACTTGATTTAAAGATCAAAGACAATCCTAACAAAATTCCATCAGGCAGTTAGTAGAATGAATTGGACATTACATTTCTATGTTCATATATGAATACATGACCAATGTAATTCCATATCATGTACAATTAGAGAATGAGAAGTTGTACTCCATATGTATAATATGTAAAAATATATTCTACTGGAAGGTATAACTAAAAAGAACAAATTAAAAAATTCTATTAGGATCTTTTTCTCTAGAAATCAACAAGTTAATTCTAATTTTATTTATTTATTTATTTAGGTACTGAAAATTGAACCCAGGGATGCTTAACCATTGAGGCAAGTCTCCAACCCTTTTTGTGTGTGTTGTTTGTGTGGGGGTTCTGGGGATTGAACTCAGGGGCACTCAACCACTGAGTCACATCCCCAGCCCTATTTTGTATTTTATTTAGAGACAGGGTCTCAATGAGTTGCTTGGCACCTGGCCATTGATGAGGCTGGCTCTGAACTCACTATCCTCCTGCCTCAGCCTCCTGAGCTGCTGGGATTACAGGTGTGTGCCACCATATTAGCTCCAATCCTTTTTATTTTTTATTTTGAGACAGGGTCTTGCTAAATTGCTTAGGGCCTCACTAAATTGCTGAGGGTGGCTTTGAACTTGTGATACTCCTGCCTCAGACTCCCAAGCCACTGGATTCTTCTATGGAAAATTAAAGGACCTGGAATAACCAAAATAATTTTTAAAAAGAACAAAGAGTTTCAGTAATCAAGCTAGAATAATCAAAACAGTGTATTAGTGTAAGCACTGATGTATAGAGCAATGTAACACAGATGTATAGAGTATGTCCAGAAATAAACCTGTACATATATGGTCAACTGGCTGCCAAGAAAGGTGCTAACTCAATAACAAAAAAATGTCATTTTTAATAAGAACAAAAGGTCTGAAAAGATATGCCACCATAGAAAATATACAGATATCAAATAAGGACATAAAAAGATATCCAACATCATTAGGGAAATGCAAATTAAAACCACTATGAGATACCACTACAAACCTACAGGGTTTCCTTAAACTGCTGATACTGGCCTTGAACTTATGATCACCTTGCCTCAGCCTCTTAAGTCTCTGGGAATACGATGTGCAACACTGTACCCAGCTTAAGGGACTTTTTAAAAAACTGGCAATATCAAGAGCTGACCAGGTTGAAGAGTTACTGGAACTCTTACATTGCTAGTGGGAATACAAAATGGTGAAGCCATTTGTTAGTTTCCTATAAAGTTAAACAATCCAAAAATCACATTCTTAGCTACATAGCCAAGAAAAAAGAAGAGATATGGTCCTTGAAATTTTATATGAGAAGGCTTATTTTGGCTTTATTCATAATCACCATTCCAACTTACTGGTGATTCCTCAAGGAAGTAAGCCAAGTTTGTCCAAATGTACATCAACAGACAAATGGATATGACAGTCTAACCATTTAATAGAATATTACTCAGCAATAAAATACTTGTAAAAATTTGTATATCTATGAGCCAGGTGCAGTGGTGCATGCCTAAGGCAGAAAGGATTGCAAGTTCAAAGCCAGCCTCAGCAATTTAGCAAGGCCCTAAGCAACTCAGTGAGACCCTGTCTCTAAATAAAATCCAAAAAAGGGATGGGGATGTGGCTCAATGGTTAAGTACCCTGAGTTCAATGCCAGGTACCCCCCCCCCTCAAAAAATGTGATACTTACATTCATAGCAGCATTATTTACAACAGCTAAAACAGGGAAGTAAGCCAAGTGTCCATCAACAGATAAATGGATAAGCAAATCGTGAAATATACATACAGTGGAATATTATCCAGCCCTAAGAAGGAAAGAAATTCTGACATATGCAACAACATGGATGAACTCTGAGGACATTACACTAAGTGAAATAAGACAGTTACAAAAAGACAAATACTGTATGATTCCACTTATATGAAGTAAACCGTTAAAACACAGAGACAGAAAAATAGTATAGTAGTTGCCAGGGGCTGGGGGAAAAGGGGAAAGGAAAATTGTTATTTAATGAGTTTAGAGAGAGTCTTCATTTTACAAAATAAAAAAGGTTATGGAGATGGTTGGTGGTGATGGTTGCATATCATTTTTTGGAACTGGGTACTGAACTCAGAGGTGCTTAACAACTGAGCCACGTCCCCAGCCCATTTTATTCTTTTTTTTTTTTTAAAGAGAGAGAGAGAGAGAGAGAGAGAATTTTAATATTTATTTTTTTAGTTTTCGGCAGACACAACATCTTTGTTTGTATGTGGTGCTGAGGATCGAACCCGGGCCGCACACATGCCAGGCGAGCGCGCTACCGCTTGAGCCACATCCCCAGCCCCCCATTTTATTCTTGACTTTGAGGCAGGGTCTCACTAAGTTGCTTAAGGCCTCACTAAGTTTAAAGCTTTAAACTTTCAATCCTCCTACCTCAGCCTCCTGAGTTGTTGGGGTTACAGGCATGTGCCACTATGCTGGGCAATGAACTGTACATTTAAAATCAGTTAAGGGGTTAGGTGGTAGAGCAATTGCCTAGCATGCATCAAGCCCTGGGTTCAATCCCCAACACTGCAAAAATAAAAATTGAAAAGTTAAGATGGAGCAAGGTGTGGGTGGCACATATCTATAATCTCAGTGAATCAGAAGGCTAAGACAGGAGGGAAGGGTTATGGAAAATAATATTGCTACAAGACAGCCCCCTGGGAAAAACGGAGGGACAGTGTGGCTCAGGAGGAGGGAGGGAATTAGCCAAACATTAAACCTCTCCCAGTACCTCCTTTCCCAGTAACAATGGAACCCAAAGGAAAAAGCAAACTTTCATCCCTTCCTGGGTTCATCCCCAGCGTCTCCACAAAAAGCAAACTTTTATCCCTTCGCAACCACAGTGGGTCCTGAAGAGAAGAGGTAGATACAGAAACGCTGGGCCCTGGACTTTCACCCTTTCCCATTGCCAATGAGTCCTAGAAGGAGAAAAGCAAATAGTGAAGCTCTAGCTAACAATGGGTCTCAGAGGAAGGAAGATAAGCAATGAATACCCAGTTCTGAGCTATTCCCAGTGACAAACTTTTTACAACTGCCTTTCTGAGTTAAAATTTTAACCTGCACAACTAGGTCCCTGACTGTTGGAACAGCACCTCTTTAGTCTTCAATGATTAATTCACCCTTATTGTAAACTATAAAACTCAACACTTCTTCTGTAACCCTGGGGCCATTCTGTACCCAGAAAATGAGCCCTCCCATACCTGACTGATTGACTTCACTGCAGAATAAAGTAGAGTTTGCTAATCCATTTGAGGTTTGCCTCCATCCCAGTTATTTGTGTTTTCATTATAGTACTGAAGCTGTGTTGGTTATTTTTGCTTACAGGGAGGATCACAAATTTGAGGTCAGCTTTGGCAATTTAGCAAGATCCTGTCTCAGAATAAAAACTAAAATGGGCTGGGGATGTAACCTAGTGGTAGAGTGCCCCTGGGTTTAATTCCCAGTATGCAAAAAAAAAAAAGTTATAATGATAAACTTTATATGTATTAGCACAATTAAAAAAAATAAAAACTTAATCCAGGCTACTTGGGAGGCTGAAGAAAGAGGATTATAAATTTGAGGCCAGCCTCAGAAACTCAGCAAGACTATCTCAAAATAAATAATAAAAAGGGCTAGAGATGTAACTTAGTGGTAAAGCATCCCTAGGTTCAATCCCCAGTACCTCAAAAAATAAAAAATAAATTAAAACTTGACACAGAGACAGAAAAATAGTATAGTAGTTGCCAGGGGCTGGCGGAAAAGGGGAAAGGAAAATTGAATAACCATGAATAACTCCCAAACACATCATGCTAAGTCAGAGGCCAGAGAAACAGCTACATACTGTGTGATCCCATTTACATGATATTCTGAATAAGTTAAAACAACAGGGACAGAAAATCAATCATTGGTTGCCAGGGAACTGAGTAGGGCAGGGGAAGGAGACTGACTGACTATACCAGAGGACATGGACAATTCTATGCTAATGGAATATAAATTTTGATTGTGGCAAACTATATACCTAAAAAAAAAAAAAAAAAGGTGAATTTTTCTGGGCATAGTGGTGCATACCCGTAATCCTAGTGGCTTGGGAGGCTGAGGCAGGAGGATTGTGAGTTCAAAGCTAGCCTCAACAAAAGCGAGGTGCTAATAAGCAACTCAGTGAGACCCTGTCTCTAAATAAAATACAAAATAGGGTTGGGGATGTGGCTCAGTGGTTGAGTGCCCCTGAGTTCAATCCCCAGTACCAAAAAAAAAAAAGTGTGTGTGGGGGGGAATTATACTACATGTAAATTATTTCTCAAAAAACGTGATTTAATGAAAAAGACAGAGCATGCTACATCAAAAACATCCACCCAAAGGCTCCTTTCATACCTTTCCTCGACTTTGATGAAGAGATGGTTGCAGAGGTTATGAACATACTTGGCATAATTCTCTGCCAGGGCCATGTCGTATGCAGTTAAGTGAATGTTTAAAACCCCATATTCAGAATCTGTCCCCAAATTAATGGGTCTCACTTCCACTTTTCCCTTCTTCTTCTTGGGCTGAACAGAAAACAAAAAGAGAAAGAAAATAAAATCAAAGTATTGTACAAGAAATTACAATCATACCATTTGGATCTTTTTAAAAAATTCAGTCATTCAAATAAAATTGTTCACCATTTTTCTCTCAGGTTACCCTACCTACAAGCTGAAGTTCTCTTGGGAAGGAATGGGTGGCTTCCCTTAACAGTTTGGGTAACAAGAGAGAAAATTACTGGCATTATTTTAACAAGAATACATGTGACTGTCTTCTGCCATTACCTTGTTTTGAGACTCTCTTCCCATCTCTAGTTCTGTTTCTTAATTTGTAAATTGATGTATTTATGTCAGATTTGTACTGGGGATTAAACGCAGAGCCTTATACATGCTAAGCATGCACTACCACTGAGCTATACCTCTAGTCTAGATTAAAAGATTCAGAATCTAGACTTCATATATGAATTAAGAGGTACATGAATTGAGCCGCAAAATATATATGCAAAATTTTACATGTACATTTTTCTGAGAAGAGAATCCTTAGCATTCATCAAAATCTTGAAGACGTCAACAGCAGGGAGTCCCAGCATTCATTCTCTTGCAGACCTCCTAGTTCTTAGATTCCACAACTGTCTATACATCCTTCTTGCTGAGAACTGAGAGGTAGAATAATTATTTTAGTTCTACCTTTATCCTTCATATAAAGTATTGCCTAAGTACATATCAACCTGTGCAGTTTGTTTTAAAAAGTTAGAATGAGGCCTGGGAAAAGATCTTTACCACACCATAGATCAGGATGAAGAATGCTTCTTAACTGAAAATAATCTAACCTAAATGTGCATCAGAAGAGACTTGTTAAATAAATTAATGCAGCTATAAAAAGAAATAAGAAACTTTTCTGTGCCTGTAGTCCTGGGGACTGAACCCAGGGCCTCAAGTACGCTAAGCAAGCATTCTACCACTAATCTACATCCCCAGCTCCTTTTTTGAAATTGTTATTTTGAGGCAGAGTTTCACTACAATGACATCCTCTTGCCTCAACATCCAGATAGCTGGGATTATAAAGATGTGCCACAACGCCTGGCAGGAATTTTTTTAAATAATAATATAGAAAGACCTTTAAAATAAATTAAAAGATGAAATCACACTGTAGAACAGTATGTTCAAAATATTGCCACACATATAGGGTGGATGGGAGAAAACAGATGTATGTATTTGCGTGTGTGTATAATTACATATACACTTGTTTGCTTGTATATCCAAAAATTATTCTAAAAGGATGTTCAAAAATAATTATATCACTGGCTTCTTGTGAGGGGACTGGGTGGCCAAGCTATAGTGTGAAAAAGAAGCCTTTTTAACTGCTTTTCTTCCATATTTAAAAATTTGGGGCTTGGGATTACTTGCCTAGCATGTACAAGGCCCTGTATTTGATCCAAGGCATTGAAAAAAGAACAAAAGAAAATCTACTACGTTTTGGAAGATATTATTGCAACATAATATTTGTACCCCAAAATGCATAAATAAGTATACAGCTTAATAAATTTTCACAAAGTGAAAATATCTGTGTGATCAGTATTCTAGACAATAAACAGATTTTTTCTGGTACTCCAAAAGGTCTCCTCCTTTTCCCAAATTGGTAATCATTCTTCTATTTATATAACCATATGGTTATTTTATCTAATTTTGAATTTCATGAAAACGAAATGGTATGCTACATTCTTTTTTATGTCTGGCTTCTCTCATTATGTTTGTAAATTTTGTCATGCATTATATTAAACAATAATGGTCTTTCCTTCTCAATGATCTAGCAGTCCACTGTACAGATATACTAAAATGTATTTACCCTTTCTACTCTTGGTGGAAATGTGGGTTGTTTCTAGCATGAGGCCATTATGAACAGCATTGCTGCCAATATTCTTGTATTTATCTTTTTTTTTTTTTTTTGGTAGTTGAACACAATAGCTTTATTTTAATGTGGTGCTAAGGATAAAACCCAGCACCTAGCATGTGCTAGGCAAGTGCTCTATCACTGAGCCACAACCCCAGTCCTTGTATTTATCTTTTACTGAAAGTATATATGTGTTTTTCTTGGGAATATATATGGGAATTGAAATACTGACCCATAAAATGTGAATGTGTAACCGATGTGATTCTGCAATTTGTATTTGGGGTAAAAATGGGAGTTCATAACCCACTTGAGTCAAATGTATAAAAGATGATATGTCATGAGCTTTGTAATGTTTTGAACAACCAATAAAAAAAAAAAAAAAGAAATACTGACCCATAAAGTATGCATATGTTCACTGTTAACAGATAGTCTCAAGACAGTTTTACAAAGTAGTTTTCAATTTAGTCCCCTACCAGCAGTGTATGAGAGTTCTAGTTGCTCTGCATTCTTGTCAAAACTTAGAAAACAGTACAGTAAGGCTTTCTGGTTGGTTTGTTTAGTTTAGTCACTTTGTTTAGTCACTTTTTTGAAATTGTTATTTTGAGGCAGAGTGTGTATATGTAGTGGTAATGCACTGAGGTTTTTTTTTTTTTTAATTTTAAATGTTTATATGTTTTTAGCTGTAGTTGGACACAATATTTTTATTCTATTCATGTATCTTTATGTGATGCTGAGGATCAAACCCAGGGCCCCATGCATGCTAGGTGAAAACTCTACCACTGAGCCACAACCCCAGCCCGCATTGAGGTTTTGACAAACATTTCCTTTATGTTTACTGAGCCTGAGTACCTTCCCATGTTTATGGCCATTTGGATATTATCTTTTATTACCTGCCTACTCATATATTTGTCCATTTTTATTTTCTGGTTGCTAGGGATTGAACTCAAGGCCCTGCAAATGCTAAGCATGTGCTCTACCACTGAACTAACCACTTCGTTCATGTTAAAAATTGAGTTGTAGGGCTAGGGATGTGGCTCAAGCGGTAGCGCGCTCGCCTGGCATGCATGCGGCCCGGGTTCGATCCTCAGCACCACATACAAACAAAGATGTTGTATCTACTGGAAACTAAAAAATAAATATTAAAAAAAAAAAAAAAAAATTGAGTTGTCAGGGGCTGGGGATGTGGCTCAAGCGGTAGCACGCTTGCCTGGCATGTGTGCGGCCCGGGTTCGATCCTCAGCACCACATACAAACAAAGATGTTGTGTCCGCCAAAAACTAAAAAATAAATATTAAAAAAAAAATTGAGTTGTCTTTCTCTTATTGATTTATACAGGTTCTTCATATAGTCTAGGCATAATCACTTGCATGTATATGCAAATATCTTTGCTTTCTCTCTAGCTTTCCTTTTTACTATTTTGTATCTTGATGAAAGTTCTTATTTTAATGTAGTCCAATTTATTCATTTTTTCTTTTATGTTTATAGTGACTTTATGTCTGGTTTAAGAAATCTTTGCTTACCTTAAGACAATGAAGATATTCTTCTATCTTATCTTCTAGCAGCTTTATTTATTTATTTATTGGGGGGCGGGTACCATGGGTTAAACTCAGGGGCACTCGACCACTGAGCCACATCCCTAGCCCTATTTTGTATTTTATTTAGAGACAGGGTCTCGCCGAGTTGCTTAGCACCTCCCTGTTGCTGAGGCTGGCTTTGAACTCACAATCCTCCTGCCTCAGCCTCCCTAGCTGTTGGAATTACAGGCACGTGGCAATGCACCTGGCTCTAGTAGCTTTATTTTAACATTTACACTTAGATCTATGATTGCTTTTTTTTTTTTTTTTGGTGCTCATGATTGAAACTAGGGACCTGTGCAAGCTAAGCACATCTCTACCACTGAACTACACCCTCAGCCTATAATTCATTTTTAAGTGATTTTTGTGTATAGTTTGAAACAGGAATCAAGAGTCACTTTTTGCCGGGTGAAGAGGTGCTAGAAATTCCAGTAGCTCAGGAGTCTGAGGCAGGAGGATTTAGAGTTCACAGCCAGTCTCAGCAACTCAGTAAGACCCTGTCTCTAAATAAAATGAAAAAAAGGGGTAGGGATGTGTCTCAGTGTTTAAGTGTCCCTGAGGATCAACCCCTGGTATAAAAAAAAAAAAAAAAAAGTAATTTTTTTTTCCTCATAATCATCCAGCCCAAATGATGGAGTACCTCTGTATTGCAGTATCACCCGTCATATACTAAGTGTCCTAAGTGTCAATAGATATGTGGATCTATTCCTGTAGTCTTTATTTTATTCCCTTGGACAATTTGTCTATCCTGAGACAATGCCATATTGTCCTAATAATTGGAGATTTATTTAGTCTTACTATTGACAGAAATACTTTTTTAAAGAGAAAATGGGCACTGGGGATGTAGCTGAGTGATAAAGTGCGTGCTCAGACCTTGGTTTCAATCCCCAACACCTAACAAAACAAACAACAACAAAAAAAAAGTGGGCGAAAGAAAAAAAAATCTGTCTCTACTTATGTCTTAAGCCACCTCTATCTAGGAGCCAACAGCCTACGGGCTGCCAGAGCATCTGGAATGGTCTCCAGGTCAGCCGAAGACAGCAGGAACCCAGTTTGCATTAGCAGGGGGAAGATACACAAATATTCCATTCACAAGGCTAGTAATACTGACAACAGACCTGATCTCGAAGGGATGTTCTGAGAATTGAACAAAATACTATATGTAAATCTGTAACACATATTTAAACACTCAATAAACATTAATTTACACAGGGTTTGAGCCCCAGTGCTGGGGAGAGAGGGAGATGGGGTGGGGGGAGAGATTTTTGTCCTGGTTCTTCATTTTGTGTGGACAGAATATAAAGCCAGGAGAGACTGAGAATGTCTTCCAGAGTCACACAGGCAGACAGCATAAAGCCCAGACCCATCCACTAAAGTTGTTTTTTTGTTTGTTTGTTTGTTTTGCAGAGGTGGTGGGAAGGGGTAGACAGGGGTGTTTTATTATTCAGCTACAACCCCACCCCGCCTTAAAAAAAATTTTTTTTATAGTTGTAGATGGACAGCATGCCTTTATTTGTTTAGTTTTGTATGCGGTGCTAAGGATAGAACCCAATGCTTCACGCATGCTAGGCAAGCTCTCTGCCACTGAGCTATAGCCCCAGCCCATCCCAAACTCTTTTTATTTTGAGACAAGGTCTCACTAAGTCACGGAGGTTGTTCCGGAACTTGCAGTCCTCCTGCCTCACCCTCCCAAGTTTCTGGGAATACAGGCATGTGCCACCACACCCAGCTGTATTAGTAAAGTTTTTAACAATGGTGACCAGACCAGGGTGCTAGATCTTGCTATGAGTGAGAAGCCAATTTCTGGAGAGATCAGTCATCAAGGTGCAGGGCCTTGTTCTCTCTTGTTCATAGCCCACCACGCCCATGGCCAAATACAACAACAGGACTTCTCACTGTGACAGCACTGCAGTTGAGTTGTGAAGAATTCTAAAGTCTGAATGCAATGGGGAGAGGCTAAAATTTTCCAACAGAGAAGAGAGGAACTTCCCTGAAGTCCTAGAAGGCTTTTCTAATTAAGGAAAATCCCAGGGCTCTTCAAAGGTGTTGTTTTGGGTGAACAGAGAAAGAAAGCTGATTCCAGTGTCCCTCTGGGCATCTCACTTGCTTTTCCATGATGGCCTAGATTCGTCTGGACTGATCCACATCATCAGGAGCTCATTGTTATATTATTATTGCTCAGTTCTAAGCCAGGGCACAGCATAGCCAGCAAGAGCTTAACTGCATATAACATCAGATTCTAGTTTCTGTAATTTTACCTGCACAAGTTTTCTCACATTCGTCCCCTCCTTTGTTCCTACTGAGTTCACACCTTCATGAATGCCACAGGGAGTTATTAAAGATATTTTTGCAAGGGATGTACATGAAACAGGGCTGTGTTTTGGGAAGCCCACACTGACTGCATATAGAAGACAGCCAGGCAGAAAAGAAGGAAGGCTAGGAGAAAGGTGGTAGGAAAGATGGGCTACTGTCCACCATCAAACCTTCGCATTCCTATGACTGGCCTGGATTTATTATGGGATGGCCTATGGTAGCCATTCTTAAGACCCTGCAGTATTATACTATGGACCTCTAAATGGACTCTGGGATAAATTATCACTTTTATACAGAAATGTTCACATTATTTTACACACACATACACACACACGTTACAATATATAAGTATATATATGTACATATATAAGGTTACAATAGTAAGGAAATGGCAAAGGTAACCCCTTTATGTCCAGTCAGGGCTGGAAAGTGGGTCTGTAAACCCAACCCCAGACTCTCTCTGATTTCAAAGTGAAAGATGAGAGTATGTCTATTACTATTTTGTCCCTCTCTCTCTCTCTTTGTGATACTAAGGATTTAACCCAAGTCCTCCTGCATGCTAGGCAAGTACTCCAAGTATTCTACCACTGAGCCACATTCCTAGCCACAGGTGGCACTCTTTAGGGTGAGAAAATTGGAAAGGAATTGCATCATCCTAATCCTCAGACCAAAAGCCTGATATGCCCTGCAGCATACTCAGTTTCCAAAAGTTTTGGTGATAAAAATTATAAAATTTACAATTTGGGACTTGAATGATTTGCTGATGGCACTCTGAACAGTTCATAATGAACTTTGAGCATGTTTATGACTCAATGACACACACACATATATACAGAAGGCTTGGCTCTGATTGGGGTGGCAAAGTGGCACAACTTGTGGCTGCATCAAGAGTACCAGACTCAGATGAAAGCCAAAGAAAATCTGGACTCAAATCTTAATTATCTGCTTAGTCACTCCATGACACTGAGTGGCCACCTTAGACCTCAGTTTCTCCATCTGTTACAGCAAAGGTTAATGTGAAGCTAAATACAGTGAATTCATATGAAATAGAAATAGCATAAACCATTAGATGGATTCTGAGCAAATACTAGTTTTGGAAATCACTAGTCATTTGGGCAAGTCATTTCATCTTGCTGCATCTTAGATTCCTCAAACAGGGACTTTAACAACCATAGAATATTCTGAGGATTAAACATATTGGGCTGGGATTGTGGCTCAGAGGCACAGCACTTGCCTCACACATATGAGGCACTAGGTTTGATCCTCAGCATCACATTAAAAAATAAATAAGTTAAATAAAAGGTACTGCATCCATCTACAACTAAAAAATCATATTAAAAAATTAAACATATCAATTATAATAGTGTAAAATGAAATGATGTTTTTAAAGCCTGGCACATAGTAGTTACAGCACCTGGTATATAATACTCAATAACTGAAATTTTAAAAATAGTAATATACACAGTTGGGCATGGTGGCTCATGCCTATAATCCCAGTGGCTCAGGAGGCTAAGGCAGGAGGATCACCAGTTCAAAGCCAGCCTTTGCAATTTAGTAAGACCCTAAGCAATTTAGGGAGACCGTGTCTCAAGATATAAAATAAAAATGGTGTAGAGATGTGGCTCAGTGGTTAAGTGCCCTTGGATTCAATCCCTGGTACCAAAAAAAGAAAAAGGAAAGAAAGAAAGAATCACAAATAGTAAAACTAAACCACGTTCTTTTTAGTTTGATAATCTGGCCTAGGGACAAGATTGGACTCTTAAAGAAATATCTCAATCTGGATAATTCCAAATTAAATAATGAGAGAACTAAGAGACAACTCCCCTTACTTTCTAGTTCCAATATTACCCATCCTGTGCATATATGATCTTCAAGTCTTTGCAAAGGCTACATATCCCCTTTGCTAATGGACTCTCCTCACCCCTTACCTCTGGTTCTTTAATTAGGTGCTTATATCTTCCAATCCCATGAGTGGGCTTTGTCTTATAGTGCCGGCTGGTAGTCAGTAGAATGCCACCTAAAAGAGAAAAAATAAAACAAGCCTATTTCTAAGCTCTTCCAAGGACTGACAGATCATATGATAGGAGACAAATTATCCACTGAAGGACTGAAAATATTTGGGGCCAGAGAGCAATTTGTTTGTTTAAATAACCATAGGTATTTCTTGATTCTAGACAAATTCTATTTGCCCTCCTTTTCTCCCCTTTTAGCCCATGGAATATATCCAATTCCCACCACCCATCTTTCTTTTGAGAAATTCTCTCCTGCAAAACTCATTGGGGATAGAAGAACAAAATACATTTTCATAGGGCTCTCATCTCTTCTTGTTCCTTAATAGGCAATAACATTTTTTGTTGGGACTTTATAGATACAGAGGCAAGTAGCAAAAATGTTCAGCAAAGAAGAGAATCACCAAGTTCTATAAAATTTATAGATTTTATAGAACTGCTGGGATGTAGTTCAGTGGTAGAGCACCTGCATAACATGCACAAGTTCCTGGGTTCTATCCCCAGCATCACAAACAGAAATCATCCAATTTGAATTATTTGTGTTAATATAAAACAATATCCAAAATATATTGAACAACAATAACAAAAGACTTAGGTACAGAATAGTGTACATGCATGCTACTACTAGGTTAAAAAAGGAGGATCCCTAAACCGGGAGAGGTGGTACATGTCTGTAATCTCAGCAATTTGGGAAGCTGAGGCCAGCCTAAGCAACCTGGCAAGACCATCTCAAAATAAAAAAGACCAGTGGTAAAGCACCCCTGGGCTCAATCCTCAGTACCAGAGAGAGAGAAAGAGAGAGAGAATATCCCTATATACATATTTATTGTGGTAGAGAGGTGCCACCAAAATTTTCCTTTAAGGAAGTACTTGCTGACCACATCTTGCTTCTTGCTTTCATATAAACATATTACATATACAAACATTCCCTTTCAATCTTATTATCCTCATTTACAAATAAAGAAGCAATGGTAGCTAAAAAAAAAAAAAAAAGAAAAAGACAAAATGACCAGCAAATGATCCAGGAAGAAAGAGGCAGAATTGCCATTTAAATCTAGGTTTATCTGACTGCACAGCCAGTGTTCATAACCATTAGATTAAAACAACTGAATTTCCAGAATACAAAATCTGGCTAGATCTGACCTTTCTTGGCTCTGGTCTCCATTCCTTATCTCTTCCCATTCACTGGAACTAGCCCTGAACAGCTCTGCTTGTCTGCCTGTCTTTTCTGCTGTCTCTACTCTCTGGAGAAGTCCTCGTCCTAGGTTCCTGCTTCTTTTCCTTCTGGCTCCTGTAATCCTGTCTTCATCTCCTTAGGGTCATCACTCTGTCAGGTGGTAACACAAAATTATATTGAGAAGTCTGACATCAAGTGAAAAGGTTTCTTAGGTACCTGTTTTTTGTTTCTATTGTTGTTATTTGGTACCAGGGATTGAATCCAGGGGCATTTAATCACTGAGCTACATCCCCAGTTCTTTTTATTTTTTATTTTGAGATATGGTTTCACTAAATTGCTGAGGCTAGCCTGGAACTCACGATCCTCCTACTGCAACCTCCTGAGTCACTGGGATTACAGGTATGCACCACTATGCCCAGCTAGGCTGCTGTTTCCTAAAATGAGCTTCCAAGGAGGTCTGTTCTGTGCCAGGTCAATCAGAGATAATCCTGGTTTCAAGGCTTTCCTGAATTTACAATCTACATTCTTTTATCAAGATATCCCTTGGTTCCTTTCCATGATTATGGACTAGTCCATATTTACAATTACATGCCAACAATTGTGTAAACACTGGGACGTTACAAAGGTAAATCAAATATGCTACTTTTTTTTGAAACATTCAAGGTCTCCTCAGGAAGGATGAGGATTTGTATACCTTATGGTATACAAATTATTTTTTATTTATTTTTATTTTTTTTTAAAATTTTTAATATTTATTTTTCAAGTATCGGCGGACACAACATCTTTGTTTGTATGTGGTGCATGAGGATCGAACCCGGGCCGCACGCATGCCAGGCAAGTGCGCTACCACTTGAGCCACATCCCCAGCCCCACAAATTATTTTTTAAATATTTATTTTTTAGTTATAGTTGGACACAAAACCTTTATTTTATTTATTTATATGTGGTGCTGAGGATTGAACCCAGGGCCTCGCACGTGCTAGGCAAGCACTCTACCGTTGAGCCACAATACCAGCCCTACAAATTACTTTAATAGAGATGTGGGCAATGTTGTAGGTACACAAAGGAAGGGACAATTAACTTTGCTTTTGGGGTAGGGGTGTAGGGTGCAGGGGAATAGGTTCAGAAGACATAATAGCTGTGTTCTTAAAAGAGGAACAAGAGTTTACCATGCAAGAAGAAGGAGATCTTTCTTTCCTTGCTAAGCTGGTGAGCTGGCTTCAAACTTGGGCCAGCTTCCTGAGTAGCTGGGATTACAGGCATGTACCACCACACCAACCTGAGGGAGGTGTTTTCAGCTAGAAGTTCCCAAAGAGTAATGAACATAAATGAGGTATGTCCTTGGCTGCTGCCTCAATTGTATCTCTCTGAACATAAGACCTTTGAGGCTTTGAGCTCTAGATCCTTCAACCTGGGGCCCACCCAAGAGGCTGATATCAAAATTTCCTTGATGGGGACATGATGATCCTCAGACCAGAACCTTGAAAATGAGTCCTAGCTAACACGATTTTACTATCTCAAAATATGACGTCCTAAAAAGCAATGAACTCTCTAAAGTATGTTCGCTCACTCAATGAATACTTATTATCATGCATCCAGGTAGCCAGTGACAATTGTACAATCAGAGCTATGTAAATGATACACGCGAATTGTGAAACTATGCAGTATACAACTAACCTACTATGTGTGGAGATCTGACTGGTACCAAGCACTACCCCAGAAGCCAGAGTTGAAACAATGAACAAAGTCCATGCAATACAGAACCTATCACCTAGGGAGACGAAGAGTACATCAATATCGGGTGATAAGGGCTATATATGATAGGGCCTGCACATGCGAGGAGCACTTTAGCTGACAAGGGATCAGGAAAGGCTTCTTGGAGCATATGGTTTTTAAGTAAAACTTGAAGGACAGGAAGGATTTAGCAAAGAGAAATCCAGGAGAAGAACCAGAAAGAATTCAAAGCAGAGCATGAGGAACAGGATGTTAAAAGATGAACTTAGAGAAATAACCAAGGCTTAGGAAGAGTTTAATTATTGAATACTTATAATATGTGGATACAACAGTGAACAATGCCAACAAAACTCTGTTTTTAGAGCTTACAGCCTAGTGGAATCACTAGTGGAATAGTCACAAAATAAATATAAAATACAAATTGTCATAAGTGATAAATAAAGAAATAATAGACAGCTATGACAACATAATAAGCATATCTACTTTAGAATGGAATATCAGCAAAGGTTTCTGAAAAAATGACATTTGAAATGAGACCAGAATTCAGAAGAAAATGGTTAACAGTGATTATCCTCAGGTGGAGAAAGTAAGTGGCTAGAAGAAAAAGGATACTAACTTTTTAGTTTCTTTTGCACCTTTTAAATTTAGTTCCATGTAGATGTATTATCTATTCAAAACAATAAAAATAGGGGATTTAACAGGCAAATAGTTTATTGGATAAAAAAAATGGAGGATGAAATTTGTGAATAACAGCATTTTTTAATAACTAGGCATATTCAAGAAGTAAAAAGACCATCAGTGTGACTGAAGCAAAGAGAGAGGGACACACCAAAGAGAATAAAGTGAGTGGTAGGTTGGAACCAAAAATGCTGGGCCTTATTAAGCGTTTGGATTTCATCCTGAAAAGAAATAAACAGGAAATCTTTATGCCTGGTATGCTTTACAAAGATCCTTCTGGTTACTGTGTGAAAGGAATGAGGAAAAGGAATATAAATGGAAGAGTTGAGAAATTAGAAACTGGAGCAAAGTAATTGTTGTGGATCTCCCTGTACCCACATGCACCCCATTCCATTCCCTAGAACTAACAAATTCTTCTAAAATACAAATCTAATTATGTTGTTTCATAAATTCAACCATTTATATACTGCACATATTTTTAAATTTTTTAATATTTATTTTTTCATTTTTTGGTGGACACAACATCTTTATTTTATTTTTCTGTGGTGCTGAGGATCGAACCCAGCGCCCCGCGCATGCCAGGCGAGCGCATTACCGCTTGAGCCACATCCCCAGCCCACACATACATATTTTTAAAGTACTTAATACTTGTTTGACATTACAAAAATAACAATGAATGAAACAGAGGTAGTCTTCGCTATATTTTTCAATGTTTGATGGTTTTCCACTACCGAAAGTGGGAAGTTTTAGGTAAGCATTTAAGAACCTTGATTCTAAGGTCTATTTCATCTCATTCTCCTACTCTCCTAGATCTTTAGAATCCTGTTCTTCAGCCAAAGAGCTACACTTGTTACTCTGTATAAAAACTGAAGTTTTCTTGTCTCTTTGTCTTCCTGAGCTGTTCCCTTACTCAAGGATTGTACCTCTCTAACAGTGAAATTCTACACAGTCTCTGAGGTCAGCTCAAATATCACCATCTCTGTGAAACTCTTCTGCTGCCCTAACCATACAAAGATCAAGAGTTTACCTCACTATAATAGCTCTCATGCCTGAATTATATAATAAAACATTTTGTGTAAATAGAAAAGAGAATTCAAGCATGGCATGGTGGCACACATCTGTATTCCCAGCAACTTAGGAGGCTAAGACAGGAGGATTGAACGTTTGAGGCCAGCCTCAGAAACTTTGCAAGGCCTAACCAACTTAGTGAGACCTTGTCTGAAAATAAAAAGGGCTAGGGATGGGCCTGGGATTGTAGCTCAGTGGTAGAGCGCTTGCCTAGCATGTGTGAGGCACTAGGTTTGATCCTTAGCACCACATCAAAATAATAAAATAAAGGCATTCTGTCCATCTACAACTATAAAAAGGGCTGGAGATGTGGCTTAGTGGTTAAGTGCCCCTGGGTTCAATCCCCAGTACA